AACGCTCATGCGCTGCTCCTCCAGGCAAAACCCACCTTTACAGAGCCCTCCCTGAGAGAGGGCTGTGTCTCCTGCTTTCCCAGGCTTCTTTCTGCTCTTCAGCCCTCGTGCTTTCTCGCCGCTCCAATCTAGCACCCCCGCCGTGAAACCCTTTCAGCTGGTGGAAACCTTGGCGAAGCTCGTGAAAATGCAAGACTTCCTCCCCCGAAAGATGCCCATATTTGCACAGCAATCTGCACCCATGTCAAAGGGGTCATGGGCTTCTCAAAAGCTACCGTTTTAGACTATCCTGAGGCACTCAGGTGGCATCGTGATTATACTTTGGGCTGCGAAACCAAAGGTCAGAGGTTCAAAAGCACCAGCTGCTCTGTGGGAGAAAGACGAGGCTCTCTACTCCTGAAAAGCATCACTGTCTCAGGAACTGCACAACCCTGTTCGATCTACCCTGTCCGACAGGGCCACTGTGACTTGGCATTGACTCAATGTCGGTGACTTTGTTTGCTTGTTTGGTTTGGTTTCATCTGCTCAAACATGTTGAAGGAAACGTCCACTGTCTCTTCTAAGCATTCTGAAAACCCACCTGCTGCCATTCAAAGCTTCCCACGCGGGTACACTGCCTAGCTGACTGTGATGACTCATTGTGTGTCCACTGGGCGGGGCTATGGGACTTGGATGTTTGATGGAACACTAGTCTAGGTGTCGCTGAGGCCCTCAAGTCAGTCCTGCTTCCTAGCCGCCTGAGAGGACAGACCCGGGGGGTTTCTGAGACTGCAGAAAGCCTTATCTTCTCCCCACAAAGCGGCTGGTGGTTTCCAACGGTTAACTTTGCAGTTAGCATCCCATTGCATAACCCCCTAGGCCAACCAGATGAGGGTTTTTTCTAGATATGGTGAACAATTACAATCAATCCACTTAAAGGAGGTTATACTCAAAAGAGATCGGAGGGTTGGCCTCATTCAGTCAGTTGGAGATCATCAGTCAGCACTGAGGTTTCCTGAAGAGAGATTTCTACTTCAAGACTTTGCCAGAGTTTCCGGTCTACCACCCAAACTACAGACTTTCTGCTTTCTTTTCTTCTTTTAAATAGTTCAAGGTCTTTTTCTTGACCTTTAAGAGTGTTTTCTAGGTCGAGTCTCATGGGGTGCCATGAGTATTTTGGGGTATTCTCTGGGGACTTTGTTGCTCTGCTCCCCTTCCTGTTCTGTTACACACCCTTAGTGTTTTCCTCAGTGTGGTACGGTGTCAGATCGGGTGCAATTCCCACACTATCTCCAGTGTTGTCCCCTGTAGGGCTATGGGTCAGTGAGGGATGTTGTGTCTCATAGTGGGGCCGGCCATATGGTCCTCTCTCGGCACTGGCTGCTCTGAGCAGGGATATCATCCTCAAGGCTTGGTGGGCCAGGTTGTGCTCCACTCTCTCTTCCTCCCCCTTCATTTGCTACCGTGTGCTCTGATCAGACATGTCCCTGAGCTGCAGATTCAGTGCTGTCCTCTGAAATAAATTCTGGTGCACCAAGATGTGAATGCAACATACCAGCATGAAGCAGATTTGCTGTTTTCTATATCTCTCAACCACATGAGCTAATTCCATAAAACAAAATCTCTGTCTATCTGTCTATCCTCCTGTTGGCTTTGTTTCCTCTAAAGCACCTTAATGGATAAAACTTCCAAGAGCAGTTCCTGAACTGCATTCATTGGCTTGCAATGTTCAATACATAACCTTTGGGTGAATCTCCTGTATAAGACAGAGCAGAAAGCCTCATTTTTCTCGCAAAGAGAGGCTGGTAGATTTAATATGCAGAACTTGAGGTTAGCAGCCCACCTTGTAACTCATTCTGCCCCCAGGGCTCCTAACAATGACACAGATAGATAATAGATGTTGCTGTACAATCTAGATAGAAAGACAATATACCAAGCAAGCAAACAAACAAAAACCAGTTCAGGTCAATTCAGGCTCATGGCAACTCCATGTGTTTTAGAGTTGAACAGCAAGTGAGGTTTTAACCATGAGGGCTGTGGCTTCGAGGTCTAGAACCCTGGCGGGATGTGCCGTGGGTTACACATTGGCTGCTAATTGCAAGGTCAGCATTTAGAAGCCACCAACCGTTCGATGGGAGCAAGAGAGAGCTTTCTGTTCCAGTAACGAGTCACAGCTTTGGACACTCACAGGGGCGGTTCTAGTCTGCTCTGTGGGATTGCTCTCAGTCAGAACCGACTCCGTGGCAGTGAGTGAGTGGCTGCAACAATGGGATCAAATGTGACAACAATAATGATGGGGAGGACGCACAAGACCAGGCGGTGTTTCATTCTGTCGTGCATCAGGTTGCTATGAGTTGGAACCAACCAAATGGCACCCACCAGCAGCAACAACATGAGTGGATTTGAACTGCCAACCTTTCGGTTAGTAGTTTAGTACTTAACCCTCTGTACCAGTCAGGAAATCCAGAAAGGAAGATAAGACAGGTATAAGAAGGATGATGATACAAAATAAAATGTGTCAACAGATGTGGCAGACACAGAGCCTACCAATAGTCACCTTTTCCTTTATTACTTATTGCCCAAATCTTTGATCCCAGTGTTCAGCTAGCCTGGATGAAGGTTGTTTTATTCAGCGCTTTAATATAAGTGAAATATATAACTGATTGTAGGCAAGTGACTTAAGCTTTCTGAGGCTTAGTTGCCTCACCTATAAAATCAGGTGGTTAACTACCTGATATGGTTTTATGAGGATTAAGTTATATAATTTCTCGTACATGAAAGACCCGACACACAAGCTGTCAATAAATGTTCAACACAGCACTATTAGTGTTTTTCTGTGGGTTCCCTTGCTTCCACATTGTACTGGGCGCCTTTGGAAATGACCTGTTCTGTTGGTAAACATGAATAAATATGGGCAATTCCGTGAGGTCACCCCATGACTGTAAGCCCTGATACCACTATCTGTTTTGTCATCTGGAATTCACATGTGAGGGAAGGACAGACCAGAGTTTGAATCAAGCAGATGGTTGTTTGGATTTGGGCTTGAGAGTCTACTTGTACGAATGGATAAAAGGGATTTGCATGGGTGTAAGGGGGAGAGAGGCATAGTGGGTTAATTGGTTGGCTGTTAACCGAAAGACCAGCAATTTGAATCCACCAGCCACTCCACAGGAGAGAAATGTGGCAGCCTGTTTCCATGAAGATTTACAGCCTTAGAAACCCCGTGGGGCAGTCCTTTATGTCCTGGACGGTCGCTATGAGTCAGAATCAACTAGATGGCAATGGGGTTGAGTCTGCTTTTTGGTAAGGAGGAGAAGGATCGTCCAATTGGCAGACACAGGCTTACATAATCAGGGGTAGGCAATTGTAGGGTAGACAGCTGCTCAATAGCTTTTGGCACCAAAATATATTGACCAGCTGGGATATCATTAATGCTTAACAGTTCTGTCCTTATGACCACATCTTGGCCAATTAGATAGTCTTTGACTACCAAAGGGTACAATATATTCCGATGTAACTGTCACATGTGTATCTCTGAGGCACACATCTACCACGTTGGTGCGTTGTAGAATATCCACTAAATATAAATGCATTTGTTCTTTGGAACACCATGATAGATTGTATGACTAAATCAGAATAGAATGAATATGAAACTGATTTCCTAAAAAAAAAAAAATCATTACTAAATATTCTAGAGGGAAAAAAATTGTTTACTGAAAGCCAAGAAATCCAAATACTGTCATTTTAAAAATATATATATAACATTTTAAAGAATTATTGTAAGAAGAAAAATGTACTGGGGAATGTTCCATACAATATGTGCATACAAATAAATACAGGCTACAAGAAGAGTAACGTGGCTAACAGACAGGGATTGAAGGATCTTAGCAGAAGGCTGCTTGCAGTGTTAAAGAAACACTGGTCTCAAGTCATAAGCCTGTAGGGTATTTGGACAAATGCTTCTAGCTAACCAATCTCCTGAGAGCGTCTCTCCATCTTGAGACAGACGAAAGACAGGAGAATCACATCTTAGACATTGGAACGCCACCAAAGGTTGTCGGACTGCTTCTTACATTAAACTTTTCAACCTTAAAATCTTCGGAATAGTTTCAGAGCTTGCCACGGCAGCATTTGCTGAACGAAATTTGTAATACAATGGGTTTCCACAGGAGCAAAATAACAGTTTTCCCAACACAGACGCTTTGCTGACTACCTCATTAAAAAACGCAGGACTGAAAGCATGTCACCTGGGACTGGTGTCAATTTTTACAAAATTATTGGAGGTTTATTGGACTTGCCGTGGACGGAAAGACTCTTGAGTTGTCCTTCCAACCTGGTCCTGGCTGCCTGTCTCCCTGTTTGGCTACTGGTCCCTGATTGTTCCTAGTCCCTGAGTGAACCCCTGAAAACCCCTCCAAGCCTCTTCTTGAATCAACATTGGAGAGTAGCAAAACCAAGGGGGCAGTGGAGTGAGTTACTCCTTTCACCTGCGAAAATAGTTAACCATCTCACATTAGTCACATTCTACATCACTAAATGCCATGGCGACACTACGAGGACTGGTCTCTAACGAGATCTCAAGGTTTTGTTCTTGCTTTCATGTTTTTGTTGTTTTGGGGTTTTTTTTGCTGGGCCTTCTATTAAAGAAGCCCATTGTTGTTGTTGTGTGTTGTTGTTGCTTTGTTTCATTTTCTTCTTTAGCTGGAGAAAATTTACCAAAACATGGATGTGAGATCCTGGCACAATCGCTGGGGAAAGGATTCCAGCAATCGCCTGGGTCCATCCCGTCCTTTGTAGGGGACGCCTGGAGGAGGCCCAAGCTTCTCTGAGTGGCTGTGAGAAACCTGCCACCAATGAGTAGGAGACCCAAGATTAGATAGATTCCAAGTGTGGACTGCTAACTGGCCCACGATGAATATCCTCCAGAGAGTTCTATCTTACAACTACTTTTTAAATCACCTGACCCTTAAAATACATGCACCTGCTGAACAGTCTCAGACTAACCATCAGCAACTGTGTTGTTATGGTTTTGCTCTTGAAGTGGAGATTCTCGGAATAAAGGAATCCTGGGCATGGACTTCCGCTTGAGAGCCAGCGTGCTCATCTCCATGGTCCGTCTTTACCTGGCACTGGCACTCCTCCACCAGCATCACCACCTTGACCACGGGCGCCAGGCCAGTGCAGTTCAGTGGCAAGTGCATCATGGTGAACTTGGTAGGCAGGCAGTGGGAGCAGAAGACAGGGGCCCGGTGCCCAGCTCCAGGAAGATGAGCAGACCCACACTTGCCAAAGCAAAGGTGGTTCTGGACAACGGCTTTCTCACAGTCTTCGTGGGTAATAGTCTAAAAGGCAAACACATTTCCTTAAATTAGCTTCACTCCTTTCATTAGCACACACCACACAGATGCTATAGCATGTAAGGCTAGAGACAAGTTAGACGAAAGTTTCAAAAGCTTTCCAGATTTTGACACATTTGGCCATGATGGCATCAAGGGCACAGCTAAACTGTCCCAACCAAACGTTATGGAGTGAATTCATCGATGAAAAAGAAAGCCCCCATCAGGTCAACTCTGCCTGGTGGCACACGCATGTGTGCATGGGTATCAGAATAGAATGATGCTCCCTGGGGTTTCCAAGGGCTGCTTTTTCAGAAGTTGGCTGCCAGGTCTTTCCAGCCTCCTCTGGGTGGATTTGAACTTTCGGGTTAGCAGTTGAGAGCGTTACCCATGTATGCCATTCAGGACCGCCAGATGAAGAAGCTAGGATTTGGGAAATGCCAAGGTTAATCGGAAAATAACATAGTCTATACTTTGAAAGTTGGACTTTAAGAAATATTGTCCAATTGCATTCGACCAGTTGGAAAAATGCTAATGGCTAGCTTCTGATATGGTTACTGTGCCTTGCCTGTGTGTGTCTCGTATTCCATTGTGCATAATGGGCTCTCAGGATATGCTCGCTGACATGATCACAGAGTAAATCAGAACACCATGAATCTTAATTCGATTCTATTCCATTTACATTCCACGGGCCCTGGGGGTGCTGTCAGGAAAGCTAAGTGAAATGTCAATGGTTCAAACCCACAAGTTGCTCTGTGGGAGAACGTTGAGGCTGTGTGCCTCCCGTCAAGATTTTCAAGCATGGAAAACCCTAGAAGGTCACGAGGAGGCAGACCCGGTTTTATGGCAGAGGGTTGGTTTGGGTTTGGAGTAGTACCTTTGGGGCTCTGCTGGTACCATCGGTTAAGCACTGAGCCGCTAACAGCAAGGTGGATGATTGAAACCCACCAGCCACTCCATGGAAGAAAGACGAGGCTTTCTGCTCCCATACAGATGTGCCGTCTCAGAACCCTAGGCTTCCAAGATGTAATGAGTTGGAATAGGCTCCATGGCTTTGGACTTGACCTTTTGGTGGTTCATTCAAAGGAACCCAGTGTTGCAGAGGTTAAGCCCTTGTCTGCTGAACAAGACCTCAAGGGTGTAAACCCGCCTGCTGCGCAGTGGGAGAAAGATGTGACAGCTGCTTCTGTGGATTCTTACTGCCCTTGAGTCGATTCTGACTCATAGTGACCGACAGGGCCAGGGAGACCTGCTCTGGTGGGTTTCCAAGACTGAAACGCTGAAAGTCTGCCCTTTGTCCTGTGGAGTGGCAGGTGGTTTTGAACTGCTGACCTTGTATTAGCGGCCCAAGGCCTAACCACTACACTATAATGGCTGGCTTGCTGGCTTGCTTGATTTCTTCCTTTTGTAAATCATTTTATTGGGGGCTCTTACAGCTCTTATAATAACCCATACATCCATGCCCACCAGGGCTCTTTCTGTAAAGATTACAGTCTTGGAACTCTGTTGAGTAGTTCTACTCTCTCTTCACAGGGCCACTGTGAGACAGACCCTGCCTAAAGGCAACGGTCTGGTTGGGGGGACTACATTCAACTCCGGAGAAAAGTTCCAACACATATACCTGTGGATCACCTTGCCTCTCACATAACCCTGGACACCTCGTTTTATGTGCCCTTTGAAATAGGCCAGAGTCAGACACTTTAATGTTCATGTAATTAGCAATGGTATCCAAATGAATACTTTCAAAGGAAATTTGATCGACTGAGTCTTTGAAGCAATTTTCAAAATTGCTTATGAGCCAACAAAACAGTTATTATTATTTGATAATTGACTTGCTATTGCTACATAGCCTTGTCTTTCAAGTAGACTATTTAAGTGACTTCATAATATTACTGCCCACTTTATTGGGTAGCATGACTGTACAATAACATTTTCCTCTGCCCTGGGTTGTTTCTGGTTCAATGGCCTTAATATTTAAGGATCTGATGTAATAGTTCCATTTTAATCTAATATTTCATGGGTAGGAGCTGCCCAGACTTCAGAAAGGAGATAGTCTGTCGCTGCCATCGAGTTGATTCTGAGTCACAGTGACCTTGTGGGACAGAGAAAAGGGCCTCTTTGGTTTTCCAAGACTTGAAATCTTCATAGGAGTAGACAGCCCCATCTTCCTCCTGTGGAGCAGTTGGTGGGTTCAAACCACTGACCTTTGGATTAGCAGCTCAATACATCACCCACTCCTCTACTAGAGAATGTCCCTTTGCCTTAGTTGATTTGGAATTGATCACGATCACCAAACATCAGTCCATGGAACAGGACTTAGGAGATAGGTGCTTAGAAGGGATGGAGGTGTCATTTCACATTAAGATTTTCCTCTTTTTGAAAGTTTATAAGAAAATAACACAAACCCAGCTTGTTTGTTTCTGCCTATGTTAGTAAGAGAAATGACATGGTAACTTTCATCGGAGGACTTGGACATAATCTATAAACCTATAAGGTAGTTTGGTGTGACAGAGGAAGCTGGCGACTACCATCAATATGTGTGTGGATGTTCAGAGAGGGGTTCGATGTGCAGATATGCAGATATGCTATCTTATCTACAGATGTGTCCAGCCGCTCCGGCTCCTGTCCGTAGGTTAGCATGATAACTGGAGAGACATGGTGGCGATGTGCCAATTCCCAGCTTCCCAAATGAGAGTGCACTATCACCTGGGTAATCTACCCTCCAAATAAAAACACAGAAATAAAATTCCACAAAACAAAGCAAAGTACAAATTATTTCTGGGCAGTGCAGCGCCTCCCCCTCCCTTCTCATAGCATTTCCAGAAGACCCAGAAGCAGAGGAAATTTAGAAAGTCCGACTATGTTTTGCCAAATCCTCTGATGCCTGCCCAAAGACTCAATCAAGGAGCTGGACTCTTCTCGGGCTCTTTCCCACTAACTACGCTTGCAGCACTCCACAGTCCTCTTGTGGTCGCCCACCCCCCTGCCCCCGCAACACATACCTGGCTGAAGGGCACCGTCCGGCAAGTCTCCCGATGCACTTCGTGGCTTTTGATGGGCAGGATGACCCCATGAGAAGCGGGGCTCTTTCTGAACATGAAGTAGTGCCAGAATTTTTTGGCCTCTTCCCGAAGTGGAGATTTCTCCAGTTCCCTGCTGTCCACTGGCTCTGTGCGAGCCTGGGCCCTTGGAGGAAAGCGCTCACTGGCAGAATCCTCAGGCAGGTGGGCTTCTCTCTCAGGCTGCTTCCAGAACTTGCCAAACCTGGACAGCATCTTCTCCCTCTGCTTCTGGCCTTCGGTGGCTGGCCTGGGACCCACCAGGTGTGGCATTGCCACAAACAGATCTGGCTTCTCCTCGGAGTCCTCGTGGTCGTCCACGGGGAGCTCTCTGCGACTCCTTCCCGCAAGGGTTAGCGAGAGAGACGGCGGACTCTGGCAGCCACCTTGGCCCTGGCCTGCCTTCCCTAAAGGCAGGAACACTAGCAGCTGAAGTAGTAGGAGATGCATGCTGTGGAGACTCCAAGCTTCTGTTCAGATCTGGAGACGGGGAGGCTCGGAGAGGCTTGGGATGCTCTGTTTCTGCAGATGTCAAACAAGGAAATGCTATATATAGGTACCTGCTTTGTGGGATGAGGAGGCAGGTGTCAGTAGCCAGGCAGAGTAAACACATTTATTGTTTGCTTGAATTATGTAGTGCTAATGGCATCCCACATTCACTTGAGGGTTTTGTGTATTTTAGTCGATCCAAGTGAAAGCCGGGAATCCAGGGGGTAATTAGCTGATAGTTTAACTGCCGTCTGAGATTTAAAGAGCAGTATTAGCCAAAACAACAGTCTTGGCCCCAATTCCCCCTCACTGTTGTTCGAAGGACCAGAGTCAACATTTGTTGTGCATCACACTGGGACAGAAACAACAAGATGTGTTTTCATTAGAGAACCCTATCCAGCAAAAATCCAGTCTCTACTCAACACAAGACCAGGCCTTTCCATAGACCATGAGCACAATCCTACTCCCACACGAGCAGGTCTCCAAATCCTAAAGAAGAAAAGGTGAGCGCTAGAGAGTGATCTGCTGACTGTTCAGAGAGGACACAGTGGCTCTGGCATGTGGTTTGAAATATTTAAAGAATTTGCATGGTAGCAGAGTTTTTGAATGGTACATTTTCTCCGTTTCCCCACAGAGAAAAACCTCTTAGTTCCCAAGTTAACTCCTTCGTCGTAAGAGTCGAATGAAACTGCGCATGAAATCTCCCAGCAGAATTCCCCCCACAAAAGGACACACAGCACAGCAGTGTTGGTTGAGGGCGGGCAGCTGTCCCCCTCCAGCCTGCTGACTGGTTTTCTTTCTTTAAACAAAGAGCCAGACTTGTGAACGTGGATTCTACGAGCCAGGTTTGCTCAGCTTTGGGTAAGAAGCTGACTGGTCATTTCCTTTCCTTTCCTGAATCCACATCACCGATGCCTACTCCACAACAACTGATGTCCAGACGACAGAAAGATGGAAACAAACATGAGCCTGGGGAATCCAAAGGAAAATTGGCTCAACGATTCTGGGGGGCTCAACATCCACAAAATCCAACCTTGGAATTGAGTCTGATCAACTCACAGAAGCATTTTCACCTGACTTCTCGTGGGCGTTATTACAGCATTTGCTTAGATTTCTCTCCTCTTTCATGGAATAGCCGTACTCTTGGCGCACTACCACCGGGTCCTACTAATCCTGGAATGTGTCTTCCTTGTGCTCCGACTAAGCTTTGCTTCGGAGAAAGGACCCATTACACTCTTTCATGGAGGCGGCTGTGTTCTTCCCGATAGTGATGCCTGATTCCTCTGAGATAAAGCCTTCAATAAGGCCCTTGACATGTACTAATGCACTGTTTTAAAATGTAGCATCACACTGCCAAGATTCTATCAGAAGAGATCATTTGCACTGGTACTAACTATCCATTGAATGCAGGCTATTATTTATCAAGGTGCAATTGATTCACACTAGATGAGAAACATTACTTGTCATTTTCTTTTAAAGGCCTTTGCATTTTTAAAAATCGCCTCTTTTAATTTTTCAATTTCTCTCCTCTCTCTAATGGAATAAACTCTCTATTCCCTTTTCTGAGTAGGGTGTAGAGACCGAGAGCAGCTACACCTTTCCTGATTCCTTTCATTGTTTTTTCTTCCAGCGACTGAAATGTCTTTGTCAGCAGTCCTGGTCGCCAGCGTTGTTCAAATCTAAAAATGTCTCAGTGATTGACTTCATTTGTGGTCTCAGATTTCTTTGCTCTTACCAAATAGAGAATTCTATTTGATTCTGACTCCGAGCAGCGCTATAAATCTCCAAGTCTATACATCTTTAAGGGAACAGGAACCTCATGGATCTGAAGCACTGACCTTGTGGGTGGCAGGCCAACAGCGACTCCTCTCACTGGGCCGCCAGGGCTCCTTGAACACGGGATGCAATTCCAATCATTTCCGCTGAGCTGCCATTTGTCAGGTTAAGCATCGCTGCCACATACAAAGACATGATAGAAAATGAGGACCGCGTGGTCCCTGTGGTCAAGCAGGTCAGAGAGTCTGGTGATCGCGTACATTTTATCGTCTACTCTACCGGTACATGCAAGAGCCCCAGTTCCCTCGTGGTCACACACTGGGCTGCACACCGCAACCACTGGCTGCTCGGTGGGACAGCGACGAGGCTTTCTGGCAAAGCGGTACAGTGTCAGAAAGCCACAGGAAACCGAATGCAATGAATACTTGTGTCATTATGCATTTGTTTAGGTGCAGTTCCACTCCATGCTATCGGGTCCCCGGGGGTCAGAAGTGACTGGATGGCAGTGTTTAATTTGTTGGGTAGATGAGTTTGTTAGTTTGTTGACTATCTGTAGAGAGGCCAGTTATCCGCTTTCAGCATTTCAGTCCTCAAATTCCCCTTCCCCTGGGCTAAATTGTGGTGTTGTAAGACATTTATAAATCCCTTCTAGAGAATTTACTTCTACAGCTCCATCCTGCATGTTGAGAAATGTTCTAAGATCCCAGAGGCCAAGGGGTGCTGGTGGCTCACAGGTAAGCCCTGGACTGTAATGGGAAGGTCAGCGGTTTGAATCCAGGGGAAAGCCTGGGCCATCTGCTTCCATAGCAATTGCTGCTGTCGCTGTGTGTGAATCGTGTGAGAATTGTTGGATTGGAAATTGATCTGCTCTGTCACCCACTTCACACAAAAAGTTCACAAAGGTTTCAGCCTCGTAAAAGTCGTTGGGCAATGGCATTCTGGGCCGTCCGATTGCTACAGGTTGGAATCGACAGCACACAGAGGGTTTGCTCAAAGTAACTGACCCAGGAGTATGTAGGCAGACGTATGCGAATTAAGGACTTTCAGGAAGGTCCCAAACCCAGAGACCCCATGGATCGCCTCACTGTGTTTGTGACCATGTGGTGGTTGTCACCGAGCAATCATCGCCGTCCAGTCAAAGCCCTGCAGCTCTCCTCCCACAATGACCGCTCCTCCTTCCTGCGCCTGCGCTGCAGGTACGAAGAGAAACAGAGCGACGCTCTCATCCCTTTTCATTTCGCCACTATTTATGGAGTGCAGTGGGGACCGGGAATGAACATGCTATAGAGGCATCCTTCCAAGGTCTCTGTTTATTGTAGAAACCACTACTACCTCAGACAGGTGGTAGCAGGCAGCTCTGGAAAGAATGGGAAGGGCTGTGTTTCTCACTTCATCATTCTAGCCAACCCACGTGTCACAGTGGTGCTTCCAAATCCCCAGATCAAATACACAATCAGAACAATGGAGCCAGAACTTGGCTCCGGCCCAGCGTAATCACTGCTGCTGCAAGTGGGTGACGACTCCCAAGAAGGGCAACAAATATTTACAACTCCAAAGAAGGGTCACAGTCAATAGATTCACGCACTCATTAACCAGATTTGCTGAGCAGGACGCGGACTAGGGTGAGCCAGCAAGATGCTCGGAGTGAAATCTTTAGAGACTCTCCTTCTCAGGCTCTGAGACGTGCAGGTGAGAGTGAGTGCCTCATTAAATGGGACAACTTGGGCTCCGGACTTTCCTCACCCTAGAATGGGCCCAACTACTTAAGTGCGGAGAGAAGTCCCTGCATTCCAGCACATAATCAAATGCATTATTATACAAGTATTTATTGCATTAGGTTGTCCCTAGGAGGCGTCCTGATGGGGTTATGGGTTAAGCATTGGGCTACTAACCATAAAGTCAGTGCTTCAAACCCACCAGTCAGTCCACTGGACAAAGATGAGACTGTCTGCTCCCATAAAGATGACAGTCTTGGATCCATTAGTGCTTTACTCACCCCCTCCCTGCGACCCCTCTGCGGGGGATGTTCCATTGTCCATAGATGGGCTTTGGGTCTCCCCTCCAGCCCCCTCCATTCTCACCAATGCATTGTTTGTTTGTCTCGATGACACCTCATGATCACACCAGCTGGTGTGCTTCTTCCATGTGGGCTTGTTGCTTCACTGTTGGATGGCCGTTTGTTTAACTTCAAGCTTTTAAGACCCCTGACACTGTATCTTTTAATAGCCTGGAACCATCCTCTGTCTTCCCCACATCTGCTCTGATCCCTTGAGGCTTCCTCACCCCCGCTATCATGACCCTAGTGCTGCTTCCCCATATAGACTGGATGGGAGCATGTACATAGGTATAGGCAAGAGATAAAATTCACAACACATGGAACCCAGGGACAGGAATGGGAAGAGAGATACCAAAAGGGTAGGGTGAAGGCAGGGAGAAGAGGGGGAGGGAGGAGGGCACTGATCGCAATGAACGGCACATAACCACACAACCCCATCCAGGGGGAAGAACAACAGAAACCAGAGGGGAAGGGGACAGCGATCGGTGTGAGATTTGAAAATAATTAACAGTCTACAATCTATCAAGGGGCCAGGAGGGGTGGAGGCGGGGAGGAGGGAGAGAAAAAAGGGGAGCTGATCCCAAGGGCTCAATGGAAAGTAAATGTCTAGAAAAGAACGATGGAATATATGTATGAATATATTGGATACAATTGATGTCTGGGTTGTAACAAGAGTTATAAGAGCCCCCAATAAAATTATTATTTTTAAAAAATGGCAGTCTTGGAAAACCCCAAGGAGCAGTTCTACTCTGTTGTATGTAGCGTCATTTTCTTAGAAGACTGTAGTACAGCAAGAATGTGTCTTAGGGGCAAGGATTGTGAGACAAAGTCTTTGGATTTGTAATCAAGAGAGACCAGTCCTTGGAAAAGGACATCATCCTTGGTAAAGTGGAGGGACAGCAGAAAAGCGAGAGCCTTGATGGGGTGGAGTGACACAGCGGCTGCAACCAGGGGCTCAGCCATAACCACGAGGATGATGCAGAAAGAGGCAGTGTTCCCACTTGCTACAGTTAGGGTTGCTATGAGTTGAAACCAATGGTATCTAACGACAACACCAGTGAGTCAGAAATCACTCCGTGACGGTGGACGCTCTGGGTAGCTCTGAAAGCCTGCCAGTTTGTCTCAGAAA